GCTTTGGGGATACTCTTGGAGAGCCTAGTCCGGAGGAGGTTGTTGTCGAACAGATTGGCGCCTAGCTAGTAGTAACGAATAGGTACTACTTGATTCATTTTCATCCATAATTTTTCTACTCACGCTCGGTCGTCTACCCCAAGTTGTATTCAAAATCCCGCTAATATCTTGACTAGCATCTTTCAAATCAGGTTTGTGATGAGACATCCGACGCAGTATTTTTGCAATAGAGCACAAAGCAGAGTCACTAGCATAAGCGGGAATCCGCCATGACTAGTTTGTGCTTTTGTCAATGATCTAGTAGATCAAGAGAATAGAGATGACGATGGCTGATAGGCTCGGCAGGAATTGCCAGTGGTGAGTTGTAAATCAAATAACTCATATTGCAAACTCTATACTGTATAGTGTAGCATCAACTACGATTTTTCACTGCAACAGTTACACATAGGCCACTGTAGTAGTTACAATGGGATTTTCACTAGCCTAATATTGCATTTTCTGTACTATTTTGTCTAGAAGGGTGATCTAGTAGATCACAGAAATTACAGTTTCGGTTTTTTGCGAGCAAGAGCTTTGATCCTTGGTATTGTTTTTTCTGAACTCGAACTTGAACGCTGTTGGTTGTCATGGTGTGGTGAACATCATCACTCTTTTTGCTATGCAGGAGTTTAAGAAATGGACATAGATTGCGATGGATTCTTATCCGACTGTGCCATGATGTTGATTAATATTGTAGTAGGGCTCGATAATACGACGGTTTAAGCTACAGTACAGAGCCACCAGTTTTGATCATCCGAATCCTCCAGAGAGCGGCACGCAGCCTGATGGCATATTGAGAGAAGCACTTCTAGCTGTGACGTATCTTTCATCTCTTGTGGGAGATTGTATCTAAAATGTGAATGTGGACTCTTTCAATGAGGTAACGAGTTGTGCGTTCTAATGACGAGTAAAGAAACAACAAAGAGACCGCTACTAATGAACTAATTTTTGGCACTTTTTATCGAGCCTGATACTTGCTCATGACTCGTACTGTGGCCTTGGTTGTAACACGGTGTTCAGACCAGAGTTGATGACGAGATACACAACTGACTCGTTGATGATAAATGAGGTATGACGAGTAGAGAGCGACGAGTTGATCAATCTGATGATAAGTATCGCATGACGAGAAGAGTGCTTCTTGTTCTTCCTTCGCAAGCTGTTGCGACTATGACTCTCACGTCAGTCTTCATATCATAACGTCATAGTGTTGAAGACAACGGATTCGACCATTCTTTTGACGTTAATGTGATGGGTATATTGTTGACCACGCGTAAGGCTCTCGTTGATCTTGATTCGTATGCTTCCTTAAATCGATGCTACTCGTCCATGGCCTCCTCGTACTCCCAGCACTGAAAACCGTCCTTGTCCCAAACCAAAACCTCCACAGTGAATGCATCGAACATTTTTTCCGTTTCCCCCCGAAGAAAAAACTGACTTGACATTCATTAGCTGCCACAAATAAAGGCTCTATTTGATATAGGACTCATCATCTATTCGATTCACTCGCATATCCGTTGTATCGTTCACAGATACGAAGAAGCGTTTTTTTGTCTAACCAAGAACAATTTACCTTCTGCTTCAAAAATTGTCGATTGAATTTCTTTGGTACTCAAGTTGAAGAACCAAAGAACGAGCAGCAAAATGTCCTTTCTGGCGCTCATTTTATGGCCACCTCAAACGCATCCGTCTCCTGCGTCGTCCTTGGTTCTTTCTCTCCTAATTAGAAAAGGAAGCTTTTTCCTAGAAGGAGAAGCATTTTCACGCCAAGGACGACGTCCGCAAAGGATGCAAACGCCCTAACTCTAATCATCTGGATGAAAAAGAAGGCCATGGTAGTTACCATTGCAGCCCTGACCTTTTTTTATGGTCAGCTTTTTTCCATCATTCTGGGTATCTTGGTCCCCTTTTCCCTTGTACTCTCGTAAAATACAACGTAAAAGGGGTCAAGATGAGGGGGCCGAGATGCAATCTAGTAGACTCTAACTTCTGTGCGTGGCGACGGGAGTTTCGGCGCAAGCGGTTGCTGAGGCCTTTTTCCTGGCCGTGAAGCCGAAAGAGAATCGCAACTTGAGGGGTGCGAAGGAGTTCCACTGGGTGACGAAGGATCGCGCGCTTGTACAAGGAAAGGCTGCGCCTACCGGCGGAGGTACCATCATGGATGCAGGCTTCCTCGAATTGTCGACGGAGGCGTCGACCCCGGCGGCCACAGTGTGCGCAACGTGCTCTCTACATTCGGCTGCAAAGTTGGATGGGGCTTCCGAAGTACAGGCGAATACGGAACAGGCCGCCAAGAAGGCGACAGCAGTCTCGGCGGCGAAGTCCATCACACCGAATGCCGCTAGTGGCAAGCAGATGTCTGCCGCCTCCGAAGAGTCGGTGGAGCAGGAAGAGGGCACCGATGTTCAGCCGGTGGCAAATGTCGACGATGCGGAAGAGGCGCTGCGGCTGGCGACCGAAATGCTCGATCTACGTGAAAAATACGATGAAATACGTAAAAAAAGTCCTCAAGAAAACGGGTGTACCGAAGAGCAAGCGTACCAGTGGCTCAAGGGGGAGCGGGAAGCAATGATCTCCGAGGGCGAATGCGAAAATGCACTGTATCAACTCTGGATGTTTGATAGGGTTTTGGCGCCATACGGTGAACACAATCATTCAGAGAAATCCGACCACTGCGAGGTGGCAAAGAAGCTGTATATCCTGGCGCGGAACAGAGATCTTGATCTGCTACGGGGAAGCGCCTCTGACGCATGCAAAGGTCGACTCGCTAAATGGAAAGGGATGATGACCGTTATTCACGATCCCCCTAGTTTCTTCTCCGTCACACATATCCAACAAAATAGTCCGTACGCTCATGGTATTCAGCATCTGGACAACTTCCTGGAGAAGCAAGAGGAGCTTCGCACGCTCCTGGCCGGTTCGTTCGCTGCCGCCATTCCTGTTCTGGACGACAGTGTGGATCTGTCACTGCGACCCATCGAGTTCCTCTTCATCCCGAAGAAAAAGCTCGCGGATTTGATCAAGAAGTTGAAGGTGCTCGCTCAGCCGGGCTCCCCGTAGGTGACATGCCTCGTTGTTGAAGAATAGGAGGGGGGCGAGCACGTGCTGACCCTCCACTTCTTCCGCTTCTTCTTTTGCACTCACACACTAGTTTTTCACATGAGTCTATTCGACGAAACTGCCAGGGCACGACTTCTACTATTAATGAAGAAAACGTCGGCACTAGCTCAGCTTACTTGTTTCTACCACGAGCACCTAGAAAGGCGGTGGTGGATAGCCTTTTGCTAGGCGGTGTCTTCTGCAACTGCCTGCGGACAATATCGACGGCGTTACGCGTCGTCCTGTGTGTGTGGCCTGGAGCAGCGTTGGGAGTCACTGTTTTCAGCGTTGTCGTAAGCAGAAGCGCTGCAGGTGGCGCGCATGTTGGAGATTGATGGGAAGACGGTGGTGTGAGATGCTAGTTTTAGAAGTAAGTAGATGGAAAGCTGTAGGGGGGATGAGTTCACGGGAGGAAAACGATTCACGAGGGAGATCAGGTTAGTACTGCAGCAGGCCTCTTGCGTTCTGGATCAGACAGGGCGCGGTGTCAGACGAACAGTTTCATGCTGTCCAGCTTTCACTTTCGTGGAGTACTCCTAGACTCGGCGTGGTCCTTCCTATGTTTCAGACGTGTGGGTCCTCTCCTCCTTAGTTTTTTGATAGACAACGAACAGGGGAGAAGTTGGCAGTCTATCTTTTTTTGATGGACAGCAGGGGGTGACTGCTAAATTTTCCAGGTGGTGGAATACAGAGGTTCCAGCAGGTGCAAAACAGAGGGATGCTTCATGTGTGTCTGACTGAAAACAGTCAGAAACGCTTGAGGCGTCGTGGCGGCCCCTGAGTCGTCCCTTATTTTTGGGACTGATTGGGACCTTCTTTCTGTGCCTATGTGGGTCGTGATGGGCATCCACGCTGGGTTTTGTGGTCTCGGGAAATAATGTTAATGTTGTATGAGTGGGTGTTTATTTTGTAGCATTTATCCAAAGTCTCGCTGCTAACTATGAGAAAAGCATAGATAGCGGCCCCGGCGGCAGGAGTCCGTCCCTTGTGGTGGAAGGCCTGTCGTGATATATTGTAAGAACACTGCACTCAGAATATGTTCGTATGCATGTTAGCGCAAGCTCTTTTATTTTCTCTGAATAAGATGCAGGCGAATTCGAACTGCGTATGCTTATCCAATATCTAATGAGTCTAAGGTTACAGCGTCCTGGTTTACAGTCTTCGCGATTTGTCAAACGCTGGGGCGTTGGAGGCGAGACAAAAGCAGCGTCAGGGAATGGTCTGCAGCCTGCATCTGTGTCAGTAAGATGAGGCTGGGGGCGCATTCATTCGCAGGGATGAGGATGTAATAAAGCGAGCTAGATTCATACAATTCAGTTGAGTACCTAGAAAAGGGCCCTTACTAGGCTGTAAAAGTCGCAACTCGCATTCAATGGCTACCAAAGTGTGAAAGTAGTAAAGTTGAACTCGATGGCTACTAGGATGTAAAACTAGTTGCAGTAGATAGCTCCTAGGATGGGAAAGTAGCTAGTTAAATTCTGTGGATACTATGACGTAGATAAGTATGTCGATAAAGCAGTGGAGTTCCAAGTTGGCTATTAGGATGTGAAAGTAGTTGAATTCTATAGCTACTAGGATGTGAAAGCCACAGCGTCCTAGTTGCCAGTCTCTGCGATTCACTTGGCAAACACTGGGGCGCTGGAGGCGAGACAAAGACAGCTTCAGGGAATGGTCTGCAGTCTGCATCTGTGTCAGTCAGTAAGATGAGACTGAGGCCACGAATACAGGGATAAGGATGTGACAAAAAGCCATGCTCGTGTGATGGATTTGCCCAGAAAAGGGCGCTCACTAGCATGTAAAAGTATTTCGTGGAGCTAGGTACTTGTTAGGATATAAAAGTGATGGAATTAGTTAGGTATTAGAATGTGAATGGAATAGCGTTGGATGTCGTTGAAAACTCCGCAGCGACGGGCCTGCTTGCGCTTTCGGGACTTCTTTACACGCAGTAGAAGTTGTGTAATGTCAGTTACTATCTTGTCTCGCCAGTGGTAGAAGATGACCACCAGAGACGTGTGACGATGAAGCAGATTAACTGACTTACTACGCCCTTAGTATGGGATACATACGGGACGCGGTGTTTGAATCTGAATCACAGTGGAAGCAAGGCTGCTCACATTGCTTAGCATTGTAAGAAAAAAGCGCAGCCAGAAGATTAGAGGAGGAATGCCTGTCGACGCATCTAATTCCACTGCATTCAAGGAGAAGGTCGGGGAGGACTGTCTAACCCCACTGCAGTCAACAGGGAAGGCCGTGTGGGGAAGGTCTAGATCTAAATCTGCTGCATTGCTCAAGGGAGAAGACCGTAGGATAAGATCCAAATTTTCTGCTGTCAAGGGGGGACTGTAGTGGACAGTCTAGATTTAATTGTACTGCATTCAATAGGGGGAGAGTCGTAGCTAGTGGACGGCCTAGGTCTAACTCCTCTGCATTCAAGGGGGGTCGTAGTGGACAGTCTAACTCCACTGCATTCAAGGGAGAAGGTCGTGGGGGGAGATCTAGATCTAAATCTACTGCATCCAACGTAGAAGGCCGTGGGGAACAATGTAAGTAGAAGCATTGGAGAAAACTGCCCACCTAGCTATTGCAGTGTTTGTACTTATCTGGATTTTCTCAAACAGCCGTTTCTCTTTAGGTGGATCCCCTCCTATCCTAACCTCTCTTATCTTAGCCTATCCACTCCTATCCTATCAAACTAGCTTACCTAGTTTACCGCAAGATTTTTGCAATGCGTATTAATTTGTATCCCGCAATTAGTTTGTTTGACGTAAGAAAGGTTATCGACAAGTGCAAGAAGTGTCTAGCAACATTATCAGCAAATCAATGCGTATTCGATGATCGTCCACCAGGTTATCACTTCGGCCATTATTTTAGCAACATAACTAGCATAGCATTAGCTTCGCAAATGTACTACAATTACAAAGAAAGGCCGTCTATAGATCTACTCACTAAGCTGAGAACCAAATTTAGCTTTTGACGAGGTGCGCGAACTGCCATCGTGTCATCTAAAACCGCAACAGTTTGTCGATTTCAGTGCTTCGCTGTTGGTTAGCAGTGGCGCCTGTCGCTCTAGTCGCAGTGTGGGCATCCTGCTTGCCACTTTGTTTTCTATCTGGTATGGCGCCCTAGCCTATGCAACATCGCTTGCTATGTAGTGGTCACGTTGTAGAGGCACAAGTGACCACTTGAGAAACATCCCCACAAAGTGGCGACGCACGCGCGGGCGTCGAGCTAGAGACGTGGCGCCGCCACTCTCTTAACCTCGTCGGGCCGATCATTTAAAGTCGCCGGGTCGATCATTTGAGTCGGCGGGCTCGTAGAGAATAGAATGATAAAGCCAAGGCCGCTCTTTCAGTGGCCCCAGACTACAGAAAAAAGTAGCAAGCCAGAGAACTTCTGACTCTAATTCTAACTATTACCTCGTGAGCAGGGTAACGATTTTCCTCGAAGTTTAGTGCTAGAACCAGATGAGGGGGGTTCGCTAGTGATCTCACAGACACGACTGGATATGTTGGAGATATGAAGGGCTATCGTTATGAGGAAGGTTCGACAACATGACATGTCGTGAGTGCTAACGCTACTTAGTAGAGGAGTTCGCTCGATATTGGATAGCACGCACTTAGTAAGAAGGGACTCGGACTCCCGTGATTCGTCTTCTTTATGAGCCGACCACGACTCAAAAAGCGAACTCACAAGCACTGCTCGAGAACACAGGTTTTCCCTGTGGGCGATGAATAATTAAGGCTATCTTCATGGGGGGAAGGGGAACCGGGAGGGGGTTGCTATCGAGAATTCGTAAACCGAACCCTCTCGGCGATAGGGTCGCGCGCGAGAATAATAATGATCGTCCCGCCTCTTTCCATGACCTCCCAGAAGTACTATCACAGCAGCGTAATGCACAAAATTTCCAAACTGTTGCTAGAGTAGTAAAACAATCCATCCTGAGATATTTTTGCTGTAGATGACACATCAATTCTGAAAACATGATTATGGTATTACTTCTATTGATGACACGACACTCACACTGGAAAACATGTTCATAGTACTATCGCTGTTGATGACACATCATAAAATGAAAAACGCTGCTGACGGGAGAAGGCGTCCACGCCAGTGGAGGGAACGGAAAACCTTTTCTCTGGATTCTAGGAAGCGCTCCTTTCTTGTGTTCTATATGGGTTCTGCTGCGTTTTCAGGGCGCTAGGTGAACGCCCAGTCTTTTGTAGGATGCCCAGTAGCATTCAACACAGAACTCAACTGAGAAAGTGCACAGATCAATTTCAGCCGAAAGACTTCCGCCACCACTCGAAACGGTGACATTCTGAACAAATCTGTGATTGATTGCCAGTTGTTGATCTATCGTTAAAAGTGCTGCTCTCTGGAAGGTCAACAACTGGTGATCAATCACAGATCCACTGTAATCGAACGAGACCCGGGTCAGCCTTCTTTTTTGTATTAGTCGTACTATAAACATTGACCACTGATACTGCGATCGGGATTTCGCCTAAACATTGAGCAACAACGAATTACCACCTTGTTTTTAGTGATGGCCGTTTTGTGACACCATGACTTATCGTGTCGTTCTCTTCGATTTGGATGAGACGTTGTGGGAGTGCTTACAGACGATCAAGCAGGCGGCTGAGAAAACCACTGCGAGGTATCCACATCTCACCAACTTTGAGACGGGGATAAAGCCACTGGTCGCAGAATTTCCTGACAAAGCATTCGACTACACGTTTTTACTTATGCCTCTCGTGATAAGGCTCTTGTGATAGATGAAAGTACTGTACACGTGTTTACTTATGGCTCATGTGATAAACAGACGGATCCTAATAAATATGGCCATTAGAAGACTTTTAACCCATAAATTTGTACCTTCGCGTTTTGTTTTTTTTTTGGGGGGTTTTTTATCAGCATTTTACTTACTTGCTACTGGTGATGCTAATGTTCTCGACCTAGAAGTTGTAGTAGATGTAGTATGATGTTGTATCATGATACCCCGATCTATAGTTACGTCATCTCTAACCTTGCAAGGAACTCCTCCCACCAGATTCGCTAGCGCTACAGCATCTCTAACCCAAAGCGTTTTTCCTACAAGATTCGCTAGCCCAAGTCCAGTCGGTGCAGGCGCAAATAGAAGCGCTTGAAGAAGATGACTGTACATGTAGTGTCGCTGAGTGTCCGACAGGATATACCTGTTGCTGTGAAACTGGAAACCTTAAAGAGGAATGCAGCAGCACACTCTTCTACGAGCCGGTTTGTCCGCAAGGGTAAGATTTTTTAGTGTTATACGATCCCGTTTCATGATGTCCGAAACTTGCAGGGTAAGATTTAATAGTAATTAAATAGGATTCACCTGATTCTGCTTCATGATGTTCATAATGAATGAATAATGTAGTTTCGAAGCCAAAGGTATTCACAAGAATTAGAATTGTACTACCTTTACCTTTTCCAGGTGGTGGAAGTGCTGCTATTCATGCGCGTGTAGTACTTGCGTTCGAGAAAGTTTCAAGGATGAGTTGCGACTTAGCTATCGTGGTGTCATGGAGTGCCTGCCTTGCCGTCGTGGCGATTACTGCAGCGGGTATTATCTTTTCTACTTCGATTTTTTCTTCAGACAGACACAACAGAAGTAGAAGGCTTCAGTCCAAAAGTACATTTTCTATTGAAGCTGTACCTTCAGACCTACTAGAAACAGAAGACTTCTTAGATTTCAATCTAAACGGACATTTTCCACTGTCTAGCTCTACGTCGTGGGTACCCTTAATCTGATGGACCCTTATAATAAAACCCGATCATGATAGTTTCTTTTACAACATTCCATCAGGAGGTGTGATTTCTTCCAGCCTTGCGAGGAAGGCTGGGTAATTTTTTTCCTTTTGATCTCAGGGGTGATTTCTTCCAGCCTTGCGAGCAAGAAGTGAGGCGTGGGCCAGGTGGGGTACAGTATCGCGTGCCACGGATATCGGATCCAGAGGCTGTAATAATGACTCTTTTTAGTAGTTGAATACATCCTCGTAGAAAAGTCCCTTGAGATGGATCAGATTTTGAATTCTCTTTTACGCAGTATTCAGACTACTATTTTAGGATCGCTTACAGCATTAATCTCCCTTTTATTCAATGATACACGAGACTAGATTGGTCCTCCACCGAAGCTGTTTCGATTTTGTAACCCTAGGTTTTTCCACGTGACTGCCAACGATGCCCGGATGGATACGAACCGGACTTGTGTTATGCCAGGTGATGTGACAATTGTCATCTTCGTGTTCGATGGTCCTCGGGCACTACGTACGGTACCGTTCTACGTGAGCTCTACACTGCAGTGATACTCGCTCATTTCAAACCTTTTTGTTTTCCTGGTAGGTCCCACCGCCATTCATCAATGATAGGAAGTCCTCCTCACTGTCGATAGAACGGTGGTGGAGGCTTACCCTGTGGAAGGTGAAGTAACTCA